TGAGCCATTCCCACACCACCACGGCGGAGGCCAGGAGCATGTTGTTACTGTGGCCCTGGGGAGTAAATGGCTGTTAAAGCAGGAGGAAAGACGGGCTGAAGAGCTGGCCGGAGCGCAGGCCAGCAGACACAAAGCGCTGATTTTCTCCCTGTCATCTGGTTGCAATCTATTCCTCTCTGAGTCTGTGGACACATTTATACCTCGTTGTGAATAATAACATCATATAATGCCTTGAAGCGAGCAGATATCCGGGCTCGGAGCCTTACATGGAGCCGCGGAGGAGCTAGCACCGGGAGCAGGCGGCGCATTCTTCCACAGAGATCCGGGCTTCTCTCATGGCAGCGGGGCGACGCAAACCTCGGTCCTGCCCTGTTAGACCACCGGAACGCGTGGACAAAACACCCGGGAACCGAGCAGGCACGAAAAGGCGGATCTGAGCCTGAGGCCGGCCTGTTCTCGGCCGAGGTTTCCCCTTCCAGACGGGCTCGCAGCGGCTCCGGCCGGCCGGGCGCTGGGTCCGCAGCCGATCCTGAGGCCTTCAGAGCGCAGAAAGCGCAGAAAGCTTCGCGCTGTCGTCAGGGATGTTCCGCCTCCGTGCTGTGGATCCCCCACGCCAAGGGATCAGTCGGAACCAGAAGGGCAGAGAAACCCCACCAACACTTCTGTGTTGAAATTCGCTTTCAATTCCCCTTTTATTACTTATTGTGAGGGACTGAGCGACCCGGAAAGCTTCATCCAGCGACTCCCAGCCTGGAGAGGAAAAACGGGTTCAACCGGTCTGGATCCCCGGGACACAAGCTGACACACCAACCCGAACCGAGCCTTTGTTCCCCGCTGGAGGAACCGAACTGATCACACATTCACACCAGGAGAGTCCTAAAGCTGCAAATGAGTGAAGGATTCACCTGTTGGACTCCTGCGTCCTCCCTCCGGATCCAAGACGGCTGGAACAAACTTTAACGAACTCCTTCATGAATTCAATCTACCCTTTGGGCTCCAGCATGGTTCCGTCTGCCTCCACTCCACACAAAGACAAATCCTCCCCAACTTTTATCTGATCTAAATAAACCAAGCGGGGAGGAAAATTCCTCCCGGTGAACTTAGGAGGAGAAAAACGCTGTTACCATGTTTATTCTATCCTTTCGCGTCCATCTTCGCTTCATTGCAGCCGAAAAACTGGATGCGAGTCTGGAGTGGAGGAGGACAACAGCCGCCCCAACCACTCAGCTCCCTCCACTCACCACGCCTAGAAACCCACTGGGCAGGATACACGCTTCAACCAGGACAGAAACTGCCTTTCTCCACTCTTCATTTCATTTACATCTTATTCCACGCACAAATAAAATAAAAGGGATGCATACACATTAAAATCCATGTTGTTGTTTTACATTTTCTGTCTAGTCGTTTGCTGCAACGTTTGAAAAAGTGATGAAATGTCGCCACCCGGTGGAGAAATTGTGATTAGGCTGAATTTAAATGGTTCGGTCCGAGGTTTGATTTTTAAGATTTAATTTCCATATTTACTTAAATATCCTTGAATCCGAACATTTTACTTCACTAAACCACGAGAAATAAAACATACACATTACGATCACTTTACTCCACTTGTCGATAAGATATAAGTGAAAATGACGTCATGTCCGGTATCCCAGGCTCCATAGCTCAGGGGTTAGAGCACTGGTCTTGTAAACCAGGGGTCGCGAGTTCAAATCTCGCTGGGGCCTGTCGTTTATTTTTCACTTAAAAATTCTTTTACTTCCCTGCACATGTTTAAGTTTGGAGGGAATGATTTGTTATAACGCAGCACACAGCTAAAGAGTTATGTTTCACAGGAAGCATCCAGTGAAGACTCTGTTTTCTATTTGTAACAGTAAAATCTATTTAGGTCATGGAGCTCAAATTATAAATAACTATTCCACACTTTTCAATTGATATGCTGGCCTAAAATGGTCACAATTTGGATGCTTTGAATAAATTACCGACATTGATCATGTTCTCCTTTGAGGTACTTGAAAACGACTTTTTTGGGATAAGTTATATAAAGTTAGCATGAAATCACTACATTGTGAAATGATCATGAAAGTACAATTAAAAATTAATTTAAAATCATTAACATTATGTGTTACTTTCATACTGTCAACATGAAAGTAGGCATATATCTTTATGAATATGAAGTTACTTATCAGCCTAAATCTGGCTTGCATGTGTTTAAGTCCACACAGGGATAATTGCAGTTTACACACCAGTCTTTTTCTGAGGTTCCTTCTTTAGTACTCAGTTGAATATAAATTGTGGCATTTAAACATGTTGTCTTCAAGTCCATCTAGAGAACAAACATGTCATCTTGTGACACCACATTGAGCCTGACAGGTCTGGTCCATCATTGCTCTTTTTTCCTGCCTCCTCCTCCACATCTGTGTACTCAGGTAAACTGGTTTCCTGTCTCGGTTGCTGTTGGTTTCTGTGCAGCATTTTTTGTTTGCAGTGTTTTCGGGTTGCTTTCGAGTTTTGGTGTGTTTTGGAGTTTCATTTCCTTGTTAGGCGTCAGAGACGAATATAATGGCATACAATCCAAATAGCATTTTATCCAGAATGTCACTCTTTCTTGATATTTTCTGAAATTGCCATTTGAAAGTGAGAGTGGCAGGTAGAGCTGATTGTAACACAGATCATAATGATATGAGGTTTACACGGTTGGATCTGAACCCAAACGGAAACACAGGATTCGCTGTAGGAATATTTCTCATCATCTTTGCAGCGTTTGTCAGAGCCCGGATAGCTCAGTCGGTAGAGCATCAGACTTTTAATCTGAGGGTCCAGGGTTCAAGTCCCTGTTCGGGCGTTAGCTTTTTTTTCCAAGCTCCGTCAGGATCGGCCTGAAATTGTTCCGTTCCGTTTAAAACCTGGATTGAGAACAGTTCCGCTGTTCCTGACCGTAAACCTGCCAGGAATCAGAGCGACAAACAAGGACTTGAAATGAACAGCATGTACCGGTGAGGAAAAGCAGGGCAAGTTATTCTCCGAGGAAGACTCAGTCGAGAGAAAATATACACAGCCTGGAGTTTTCAATCTTACTTTCCTTCACATCACTTGACACTGATTTAAAGTAATCCTTTAGCGATGCCTTCAGTCCTAGTGAGTCGGAGTAAGTAATGCGGTGGTTTTATATAAGCTCCACCCATCCGGCGCGCCGTTTCTCTTGCCGGAGTGCAAATGATGCGGACCGTGTGTTCTGGTAAACGCTCCCAAGTATCGAGGAAAGAGAGAGATGTGGCGTCGAGGTAAAATATTCTGGAGAAGTGGGACAAAATGCGTTTCAAGTTTCCCAAAAAATCCAAAATTACTTCTCAAGCTTATTGATATAAATATGACAAATATGTTTTGGAAATGTAAAGGTGGTAAGGTGCAGGCTACCAGTTGCAACATTTTTTTATTACATTTTTAATGGATCTGACCCAGAACTTTGTCAACACCGTCTGACAAAAATAAATAATAAACAATTTTTTAATGACCCTATTAGTGATATTTTTACTCAGTTTTACAGACAAAATGCAATTGAAATATTATTTAAAACAAAAAAACACCAAGAAGTCCATCTGATGGAGTTGACACAGAACTGAATGTGGTGACAACTATTGAGTAAAGAAAAACTTCATGCATGTGAAGTAATGCCATTTATGTAAAATGCATTAAATTTAAGGTCACTATCACTTAAAGAGTCACAATGTCAGTTAAACTGACTACCTCAATTTCTATGATGTTATTCTGAAGGCGGCCATATTGCAGCTCATCAGGTCCATGAAATCTGTAGTTTCCTGAGATTAAGCATTTATTCCACAAAACTTCACCAAAGGTTTGAAAACTGTCAGTTATGTTGTTGACACAATATGGTTGTGATGAACAACTTAGGAATGAAACAGAAGAAAAAACTAAAGAATAAGATGAGCTAGCTGGAGCTGCTTCGCCCTGTTAGCAAAGGAAGAGGAAGGAGGAGGTCCTGGGGTCCTCAGGACTTCTGATGCCCCCAATAATGCCTGATTTTTTTTACGTTGCTTTTTAATTCAGTTGGAAAATATATAAAACTGATTTAATTCAATTTATTGATACTTTTATAATTATTTATTTCAATACTTATACTTAATTTTTATAATATATTATCTTAGTATTTCTTTAATTGTTTTAAGCTATTATAATTTATTGAGTTCTGCTCCAATACCATTAACCTACTAAAATGTTTAAAATAAAAAAATATTCAGCAAACACCAAGAAAACATACTTTGTTGTGTCACATGGCCCAGGTTAGTTTAGTTCAATATTTGGAAAAAATATATTTTGTGTAAATTTTATTAAAATTTTGTGCTTCATCCATAGGACCAGTTTTGTCCTTCTTCTCAAGAAACACTTTACTACTAATATTACTACTACTACTACTACTACTACTACTACTACTACTACTACTACTACTACTACTACTACTACTACTAATAATAATATAATAATAATAATAATAATAATAATGATAATAATAATAATAATAATAATAATAATAATAATAATAATAATAATGATAATAATAATATAACAATATCTTTCTATTTCAAAATTAAGGTTGAATAAATTAACACAGTTGAATGTTTAAATATTTATGTCCCAAAAAATAAGGGGAGGAGTCAATACCAGAGATATGGTTCAAGCTTTTCTTTGGTTTTGTATCAAATATCTTTACAAAGTACAAGTATAACAAATAAATAAAGTATTTAAACTACTCACAACAAAATTACACAAACTAAATGCACAAATGAAAACACAAGCAACAACAAAATACAAAGAAAAATAATTACATCCTTCCAATATTTGTAAGGACATAAACAATTTAGCCTCATGGTGGGTCCATATATTTGAAATAGGCTAATTGAATGATTGCAGTGTGAATACTCGCCGTGCTGTGGCATCATTTTGTATTTTAGTTGCTTGTTTGCTGTAGTTCCTGTTGGTTTTCTTCACTTCCTCTGTCTGGTTTTCCAATGAGTAACACAAACCGTCACAATCATAATCAGCAGCCCAGAACACACAGCTGCAGAGTACCAGTGCTGGAACAGAAACTGGGAGGAATCTGGAAGTGCACATATCCAAGAACACAACATTAACCTAAATGTAAAAATATGCTGCTTGTTTACAGTTTATTCTAATAACTGTACCTGATAAAACAATACATATCATCTTGTAGAGTCATGGTAAATACAAAGAGCTATCAGGAGATAAAAAGTCTACCAAACCGGATTCCAGGTTACCAAAATGTCTGTTTTTGGTTTTGATGGTGATGATGATGATGATCTAAAAACAGATTTTGTTATTCGGATTATTCTGATTCTGATTAATTGTCTAACTAGTCAAAATAGAGGAGCTATTTTCATACTTAGGTATGAAAACCAAAGTGGACCCCTGCTGCTTCGAAGCATGTGATTTAAGAAAGTAGCAGACGGAGGATCAGCTCTTTGAGAGCAGGAACGTTGACAGATTGCTGCTCTGAAGCATTGTGTGTGGTAACACAATGCCAGGATGGAAAGACATCAGCAATGACCTGAGCTTATCTTCACACACCAGGCCTTCATGCTCAATTCAGATTTATTTTGCTGAAATATGTTTTTGTGTGGCTCATGCGTTAGTTCATGCTACTAATTAACCGCAATCAAACTTCAGTTTATGACTCCAAAGCACAGAAGAAGAACGTTGGCGCCACACAGCAGCGTTCTGTTTACAAAGGTATTGATAGATGCTGTCATCCATAGATTCATGTCAAAGCTATTCAGTGATGGGAGCATCATCACAAGATCAGAACGAGATGCAAGAAGCTGATAAAAAGAAGTCAAAGCAACGGCCTTTAGTGGAGCACTGACTGCAGCTTCTATAAGACGTCTTGTTGAACTTTTCGTTTGCATTGGGGGGAACTCATTAACTCCATATAAACTGCAATTTTTTTGCATTTGTCATCCCTAGAAGTTCAGAACATAGATGTTGCAATCAGTGTGTACAGGCTGAAGCCCAATGATGTTAGCATATCATGTAGGGGACTGCTGATAGGAAAATATTTGGATCCTTAAACAGTCCTGCAAAGGGAAATCCAAAGTTTTATGGTTCAGGAAAATCCAGATGTTCTGCATCATGCAATGTCATAAATGAAGTCAGGAATGCTTACTATGAATCCGTGTTCCTTTCCCAATTATCAGACGTCCATTCATGTTGGCAATGCAGTAATACAGGCCCAGATCCCCCACTTCAACAGCCGTGATCTTCAGGGCTAGAGACCGATTCATGAGACTCGCTGAATGACGAAGACTGAGCTGAAACACTGAAAACAGACATTGTAGTTGTTAGTGTTTAATTTGGACTGTCACAAACAAATTGAATTCTTCTGGATCAGGACTAAAAGTTCTGGCCTACATTCAACCGGCCGTCCCTCCCGGAGGCTGGCGTGGAGGACCACGGTAGGAATGAGGTCTGGGTTTTGCTTCAGCCACGTTGTCATGTCGTACAGGTAGGAGATGTTGCACCCCAGAGTGACGTTTGAACCAAAGAGGACCTGCTGGACCTCAGCAGCTGGAACAAACAGCATCCAAAAGCTGGACATGGTGATGAAACCTGGAGGGGATCAAATGGACCAAAGCAGAACAAATTTAGACAAAGTTTCTGACAGTACCCGACTACATGTGAAGAACAGAGGCTGGTTCTTATCTGATATGCCTCAATTTTCTGTCACTTTGCTGCTGTTACACCTGAATTTTCTCACTGTGAGAAAATAATAATAATAATTCTATTCAGTCAACATAAAGCTGCTAATTATATTGAACCCTAATTAACAGAGTGCAAATTGCTTGGACATAATATTTGATTATTAAGATCAGTAGCAAGCAATTCTATTTTAAGCAATGGTATTATTATTATTATTATTATTATTGTTATTATTATTATTGTTATTATTATTATTGTTATTGAGCTCTGCATCAAGACATGAGATTGTTTCACCAAATGTAAAATAAGTGGAAGGTTTTTGAGTTCTCTGATCTGCTCAGTCTTTAAACCATGATTCCCTGAAGGCACCAAGTAGTTAGAATATCAATGAGTAAAATGTTTAGTTAGCCACCAAACTTTGGATTGAATCTTCTTTTTATCCATTTAATTAAAAAACTAAAGCTGTTGTTCTTGTCCCTCAAGATCTTGGTTCTGTTTTCTCAGCTTCAGTTTGTAACTATTTATTTAGTTTTAGATTTAAATACCTTTTTAGAAATTCTTTTACATCTTCTTCATGGTTATGATGGTAAAATGCATATTTTTATGCCAACTGCTGCCATAATTCATTGTTCTGATCCCACATCTTCATCAAAGATTGTAATAAAAGCCTCAGATTTAGCTGAGGAGATTTACTGATTCCACCGACTAAACTTGAATCTATCCAAAAGTAAAAGATTTTTGCATTACTTACAAATGAGAATCATCATAATCCGGTCTGCCTTCATCTGGTTTATCACTGTGTTGGTGAGAGCAGCTTCAGTTTCTGCAGACCACACTGACTTCCTTTAGACAACCCACTCTTTCCACTGAAAGCCCACTCCTCCATTCTGTTTGACTCCCCGCTCCTAAAGCCTCCTTCGGCTTCATTTGAGATCAAATCAAGATCCATTCAAAGTTCATGTCTGAATTATGCTGTAAGTTTTTCCTTTTGGGGTTTAATTTCCACATAAATAAACTTTTTTAGGGGAAGAGTGAACTGAGTTTTGTCGTGCTTCCGTGCTGAAAGTGTGAAATGGCTAAAGAGGAAATGAAAGCCACAAAACTAGCAGGTATTTTGAAAGTTAAGTTATGGAAAACAAATAACAGAGAAATAATGAACTAAATAAACAAAGATCTTTAAACCAAAACTGTTGCTTTGTCTGTGTTGCCAATTGAAGAATGGGTGGGATGCGGATGATTCAGATGCATTTGAATCAAAATAATTTAAATAACATTACTCTGACAGATGTGTTTCATTTTCTTTTGTTGCCAGTGGTGATCTTCAAATTTGTATGGTCAATAAAATGTTATCTAAGGGTAATATATTTTATCAATCCATGTAGGAACAATGTCGACTGAGCTGGACAAATATATTTAGTCACAAGCTGCCCAGTCATTCCTGCTCTATGCAAACTGTTAGTGAATAAAAATAATCCTTTGCATGTTCCTAAACTTAACAGAAATAAAAATATCTTCATAAAATATGTTGGTCTGACAGGTTATGACTTATTACGAACTCTTTCTAATTCTCCTTTCTCTAGCAGACATGTAATGATCCCCAGAGGCGTTGCTGTTTTGATCTTTTTTATTTATAATAAAATATACTTTGTTTTGAATGAGATTTTATATCTCATTGAGAGTAGAAACAGGTTTTCTTGTTATAATGAGATATCGCTCCTGACTTTATTGTCCAGCTCCGGTATTTAAAGACTTCCATACTTAACAAAAGTTGTTAAAACACATAAGTTACGTATTTAAATAGACCATATGTAAATTGCGATTACGTCATGACGCGACTACCTGCCACTTTTAGAACAACCAATCGCTGCCCTCCTTACTGGGGAGTCCGCCGCAGCGCGGTAGCGGCTTCACGGTGCCCTGCTGACGGGCGTCCAACCAGCTGACTCCGCTGCTATCTGCTAAACAGCGATGAAAGCCCTGCTGGTTCTGACAGTTTGAGAACTGTTCCGAATTTAAAGCGACGGACTGAGGGACCGGAAGAGCGCGGAAGGCACCGGAAGACGGATCGGTCTCAGGTGAGCTTTAGCATTAGCTTGTTTGTAGCTGTCAGTGCTAGCAGTTAGCTCACTTAGCTCGTTCCTGCCACTGACTGGAAGAGCAGGTTTTTATTTCCAGTCGTCGCAGTAACAGTTAATATTCTTCTCAGTCAGATACTTTCTATAGAAAACCCAGGAGTGTCCGGTTTTCTGCGAGTCCAGTCTGAACAAAACCTTCGGTCATGAACACGTTGTTCTGAATTTCCTGGTTTCGGTCCAACCAGCAATTATTTTTTCACTTAGTTGAAATTTAAATATATTATTTTCTAAGAAAAACACATGAAATCCAGGTGTTTAAAAGTTTTTTTGTGTTTTGTTTTTATTTCCTTCCATCTTGTAACTTTAAAATAAAGCTTCAATTCACTATTGATCAAAATCTGAGTAAAATGAGTTAATCAAAGATTGAACTTAGAATTAGGGACTTGTGCTTGAGGGTTAATCTTGGAAACCTTTTTTATTTTTAGTTGGATTTAAAGTTCCCACCTCGAGAAAACTTGAAGCACATTGTGGCTTTTTGGGTCTTTATTTTATTTTGTAATTTAGTTTAATTTAAACTAAACAAAAAAATTAATTTAATTTAATTTAAACTAAAAAAAACCTGAAACCCTTAAAATTGAAGATAAAGACTGACTTTGAATTTGCAGTTTTATTCAGGCTGTGAAACCAGGTGAGCAGCAGGTGGGCGTGGCCTGTCAGTAGCAGGATTACAGGTTGTTGTTTAGTGTTTCCACCTTTGTCAGGTTCCTCCCTCTACTTTTCTCCTCCAGTTCTGCTTGAATGACTCGCTCCATGACCTGCAGCAGCTGCATGTTACTGCGGGCTGCAGTTTTTGTTTGTTTGTTGTGACTCTGCTGCTGTTTCTTTTCTTTCTTTTTTTTAAACATTGTACACCATGACCTCCACTTGAACCTCAGCTACTTTTGTGTCAAAAGGAATATTGTTTAGTCCTATTCATCAGCAGTCTGTGTGGTGCTACTGTGACTTTCCCTTGATGTGGTTCAGTGGTGTCCATGTTACAGAAACATGATTCTTTATCTTTGATAAACTTGATTTTATTTGTTTTTTATGTTTCTTTCATCCTGGTAATCAGAGATGTGACTTTGTCTTTGGCTGTCAAACATCACTGCTGTAGTTTGACTACAAAAATCACCCAACTCCTATTTGACCGACCTCAA